AAGTCCAAGGGAAAATATTTTCTTGAAAAATGCTCTGTTGGAAGTTATATACTTCTTAGAAAAAAAAAAGAGGGCCTTTACTCTAAAATACTGTGGCACTTGCAGAAGTGGAAAAGCTGATCCTAAAATTCATACCACCTATGATATCTGTAATAAAATTGAAAAACCACAAGTATTGGTGAGGATATGGGGAAACTGGAAGCCTCTTACATTACAATTAAGAATGTCAAATTGTGCAACCGTTGTGAAAATTATTTTGGAGGTTCCTTAAAAAGTTAAACATAGAACACAGCCTAGCAATTTCCACCCATCTCTCTGGTATTTATTCCAAAGGATTGAAAAAAGTATTCAAACAAATACTTGTACAAATACTTGTTTAGAGCAGTACTATTCAGAATAGACAGAAGGTGGAAACAACCCAAACGTCCATCAACTAATGGATGGATAAAGTGTGGTATGTACATAAAATGGGATATTAGCCATAAAAATGAATGAAGTACCTTTACATACTACAATTTGGATGGACCTAAAAAATATTATGCTAATTGAAACAATCCAGACACAAATGGATACATACTGGGTGGGGCAAAAGTAGGTTTACAGTTGTGAGTATGGGAAACACAGTTTATTCTTGTATATTATTTATTAATTATTTTCCATATGAACTACTGTAAATCTACTTTTGCCCTGCCCTGTATTGTGCTATGCAATTTATGTGAAACATCTAGGATAGGTAAATCCATAGTGACAAAACACAGATCAGTGATTGGTAAAGACTGGGAGCAGGAGAAAATGGGGAGTGACTATTTAATGACAATGAGGTTTCTTTTTGGAGTGATGAAATGCTTCGAAACTAGATATTAGTTAGGGCGTACAACATTGTGAATGTAATAAAAGTCACTGAATCAAACACTTAAAAAATAGTTAATTTTTTGTTATGTGAATTTTACCTAAAAAGTGGATACCTTTACAGATGCCCCCCCTTATTTTCCCCATACTCTCAACAGTAAAGATTTAAAAAAACAAGTATCTTACTTGACACACATACACAAAAATGTGGATACTCTTAATGTGTTCCTTATCTAAAAGTCTGAGCTGCTTATTTTCTTGAACCAAGCAGAATTCCTTAAACCATCATTAATAATAGTAATAACAAGTTACTACTTAATAAATTAGTACAATGTGTTTTCAACTGTAATGTATGCTTTTCATGTACATATTATATAAAATCTCACAACAACGTTATAATGGCATATAGTAGATGCTAAGCAAGTATTTGTGATATGAATGAACAAGCAGACATATAAGGTTTATATGAGACAACTGAGGTTGAGAATTTTCTCAACTTTCCCCAGGTCTTCTAGTTAGTAAATGGCAGAATTCACACTCTAAGAACTGTAAGACAAAAATACCATTTTTGGTTTTAGAGCTAACCTCACATTAGAGAAAAAGACATCAGGTTCTATTTCTGGAAAGAAGTTAAGTCCTTCATATTATTTTTTCAGTTATATTGAAACTCAAATCTGTTAATTTGGTTGTATTGCTTTGATATCAGGCAGGCTTGACATTCAATTTTCCATTAATTTACTAAATGTGTGACTTTAGAAAAAAATTCATTTAACCTTTCTGAAACCCAGAAAGGTTACAATTTGTCAACAATTTGTTAAAGATTGTAAAATGAAGATGACAGGATGGACTGATGGAGTCAGAGTTGGAAGACAAGGCTACCTTACTCTCCTGTTTTTTAAATAATAGTAATTGGTGCAAAATGTTAAGAAAACATTGTTGAGACCAAATAACATTCACCTGCAGGCTACATTTGGCCTGTGATTCATAAGTTTTGACCTCTGTATTAGTTTAGAGGAGGCAGAGAGTTAAGATACTGTGGTGGTTAAAAGATGGACTGTGGAGCGTACTGCCTGGGTTGCCATTCAAACTTGGCTATTTACTAGCTCTGTAACCTTGGGAAAGCTTCTTGCTCCATCTGTGTCCCAGTTGTCTTGTCTTTAACATGGGAATAATGATAATATGTACCTCATAAGGTTAGTACGAGGATTAAAAGAGAGCTAAAGGGAGGGAGAGCAAGCGAGAGAGGTGTATATAGTCATTTAAAAACAGTATCTGACATGTAACAAGTGCTCTGTGAATATGTTAAATAAAACAAAATAAATAAGCTCTACATTTCCTTTGATCTTTAATATTGTATGGCTTAGTAAAAACTTGTGGAAAGCTGATTATTTGCACTGATTCTAACTTGGTCTTTACCTCATTTTGTTCTTCTATGCCTCAGTTTGCACATCTGCATAACGAGGACAGTAATGGTTCCTGCTTTGTATGGTTATTGTGAGGATTAAATGAGTTAATATAGAGAGAGTTAATATAGCTACAGTACCTAGAATATAGTCTGGCACAGATTAAGCACTATATAAGTACAAGCCATAATCATTATTAATTTTTAAAATGTTGTTTGGCAAAGCTCATGCAGGTCAGTATTGAAAAACTCCAAAATGTGTTTAATGGTATTTGCAATATGGCATTGAACTTAGGCACAAAGTCCATACCATAATGATGGAGCTGAACTTTTAACCCTTCAATTAATTCTTCAAAAAAAGCAAGATGGTAAGGTCTATGAACAGAAAAACTGCCAGTCATTGCACAGCCCACTCAATACCAGATTTAGATAAAAAGAAAAGCAAAACCAGAATCTGTATCTATGAAGGCAACTAATTGAATTTAATTTTAATAACTCTTTCTGCATTTTCCATAATAAATCTAAGAAGATGGGGAAAATTCAAACTCTGATGCAAAGAACTGATTAAAAGAAAATTCTATATTGGAAAAGGTTATCTCCTGCTTCCTTACTTAATCCCAGGCTACTTGAAATAGACTATTGCTTTCTCAAATATGTAAGAGAAGGAAGTTACAAGTGAAGTCAGTCTTAGGGTAGAAAAAACAGGACCCTAGCTATAATGTTTTTAAAAATATATCTTTATTGATTTCAGAGAAAGGAAGGGAGAAGGAGAGAGAGAGTTGAAACATCAATGATGAGTCATCATTGATCTGCTGCCTCCTGCACACCCCTAAATGGGGATCGAGCCCGAAACCCGGGGGGATGTGCCCTGACTGGAATCAAACCGCAATCTCCTGGATCCTAGGTCGATGCTCAACCGCTGAGCCACGCACGGCCAGGCCTTAGCTATAATTTTTAAGGTGAGAAGAATCTGGTATGAAGAAATAAAGCAGTCTTGGAAGGACTTGGGAGAAGATGTCCAACAGAACAAACAGGAGTCCTAATGTGGGGGGACTGGAAATATACTGGGAGCTCACGCTGAATGAACAGGGAACATTATAGGACACAAGTTTAAGGGTGCTAGAAGTCAGATTCTAGTATTGAAGTGACAATAACTATTAGTAGAATCTTGGAAAAGAGATGGAAATTCTTCAATATGAGAGAATAGGGGCAAAGGGAGATCTCACTGTCAGAAAAGCACAGGTTCTGTTGTGAGGAGACATGATATTATATGAAAAGTCCACTGTGAACTGATAAGGACACTAGTAATAAAGATAGGTTATCCAAGTGGGGAAAACACAGGATAAGGTCATGGGATTTATGTCTAGAAATATTGTGGAATTCTCAGTTTATAAGAATAGAATATACTGTGGGAAGCTTTTTATAGATATGGAGGAGATATAATGCTCCCTGGTGTGCAAAGAGAGAGTACATGAGGATACCTCACATTTTAAAAATGGGTGGTCTAATAAAGGGAGACAAGAAATTATGTTCCCATTGAAAGGGGCAGGAAATATTAGAAACTCCAGTGGAAACAAATGGTGTTTTTCTTGTTTGAGAAGACAGGGTACAAGTGCAATCCTAGTGGGAAATAACAGAAAATAATAATAAGAAACCCTGGAGAACAAGGATGGCAAAATGTGGGGCTAAAAGTGGAAGAAGACTGCAGGATGTGGGGAGTAGATTTTTAAAAAGAGAAAAGGGGGATCATCATTAGAAAAGTAGTGGTCCTTGGAAGGGGTATGAGAGCTCACAAAGGGTATTGTTGAAACCCTGTGGGAGAGTAAAGAGGACACTCTAGTGTGAGAAGGCAATGGACAAGGCAGGACCATAGTGTGATAAAAGGCAAGATGACTAGTATGAGATGTCAGAAAATAATATGGAGCCTCTAAGGGAAGTACTGAATGCTGCTCAAAGTAGGAAGGCAAGAGACAAGGGGAACTCCAGTGTCATAAAGTCAGGGAACAAGGCATAAAGTCTAGTGTGAGGGAACAAGGCAGGATGTATTGTAGGATTCCCATTCCATTGGAGAAGATTTAAAATGGTGAAGCTCACAGGAGAAGAAAATGGAGGTCTTACTACTTTGTGAAAAGGGGTAACTTCAGTGGGGTAGAACAAGGTATACTGGGTGGTCCTATGTGGGAGAAGATGTGAAGCACTTCAGCCAGTGTGAGAGAATATGGGAAAAGGATAAATCCCCTCGTTGGAAAAAGGAAAGCCTAGTAAGAGAATCACAGGAAATATTTTGAGATTGCTAGTAAGAGGATTTAGGGAAATGTGGGACTCCAAGTTTAATGCATTGGTGGGGTTCCTAATGTAAGTGGACAGTTTAAGGGTACAGGATATGTTGTTTCCTCACTTTGATAGGGCAGGAGTCCCCAGAATGAGAAAACAAGGCACAAGTGTTTGTCTTGTATGAGAAAGGGGAGACCTAGTGGGAAAAGCATGGAATTTCTTGTGGTAAGGCCAGGAAATAATGTAAGAAATCCTAGGTGGGAAGCGATGGCGACAAGGTAGGACCCTCGTGGGGGGCAGGAGTCACAAGAAATATTGCGGGAAGCCAGAGGTTGGAGGTGGGGAGCTCTCTAGGGAGCTAAATAAAAAACCGCAGTGTGAGGGCTAAGAACACAGGGAACACCACGTTTAAGGGTAGGGCAGACGGTTATGCTGGAGCATAATTTCCCTACCTTAGGTGCCCAGCTCCACTTACCCAGGCAGAGCTCAAAGACGTAGGCATAGTATGACCAGAGCACGACGAAGACGATAACGAGCACCGGCACCCAGGAAAGTACCCGGCGGCAGCCCCGCAGCCCCGCGGACAGAGCCATCTTCCAGCCCCGCCGCATCTTCAGCTCGAAGATCGACCGAGCACGCCTGCTGGCGCTGGGTCTGAACTGCTGGGGCTGCAGCTGGGAGGCAGGAAGGCGCAATTGTGCAGCGCTCCACTGCTTACCCTGGCGAAAACCTTCTCACTGAGCCTGTACCACCTGTGGGGCTGCAGGGCAGAGTGGGCCGCTGGCACAATAAGCATGAGTCATGGCGAATAGAAACTGGCCCTTTGGGAGCGGAAGGTGATCTGTCAGGCAGTAGAGGCTGGG